GGATCTTCGTTCAATTTCTGTTTGTTTTCCTTTAGTTATTTACCTTCTTTCTTTTGATTGAAACGCATTCTGTAATTTAGATCGTGTTTTCTTTGAATGTGTTATGAAATCGTGTTCGGTTTTGGTTGATTTGCTGTAGAATAGCTGGAAGTATATGGAGATTGAATTTGGAGAGTGTTTTGAGTTGATTAAGAGTGAAGAACCCATGAACAATGAATTCAGGTCACAGCTGGGTTCATGACCTGGATTGGAGCTGGGTTCGCCTGGAGGGAAAAGAAAAAAAAAAAGAAAAAAAAATAAAGCATAGAGGAAGGAGAGGATGGGGAAAGAGAGGATGGGGAAGAAGATGGGGTAAATTAGTAATTTTTTCTTTTTCCGTGCTGAGAGAGTGACGTGGAGGGTGATGTGGAGGGTGTTATAAATCCACGTAAGCATATTTTACACATTGGCATACCCACGTCAGCTGTTCTAGTTAAGTTAACGTGCCACGTGAGCAAAAATTAACGGAAGGACCAAAAAGGGGCCGGATTTGTGAACAGTAAGGATCAAAAAGGGGATTTTTTCGGTATAGGGATCAAAAATGGGCTTTTTCTTATAGTAGAGGGACCAAAAAGGGTATTTAACCTTTGAAAAATTGGCAATTAGGTCCATTAATAATGTTTCTTCACCATTAGGTCCCTAACCCAACTTAATATGCTTGAAATTTTTGGGGTATTACATATACAAAGACTTGGTTTATTGTAACACAATTCCATATCCATCCTTTTCTTTAAGTTATCCTTCGTCAATGGGTCATCTATAACAATGTGAAAGATATACCAGTGCATGCTAGTGTATCGAGGCCACAGCCTCATGCCATGATCTTGTCGTCTATACCACTATCTTGGGCCCCCAAACTTGCACTTAGTGCATTATATTTAGGTTAAAATGGATTAAGTGTGTGCTTTAATAAGGAAGCTCCCTAAAGAAACTTCCCAAAGATACACTTTTTAACCTACTTATGCCAATCACCAAGCCCTTTGATCATCTGCTTTTGGGATGGCTTCCCAAATTGTATATTGAGCAAGTGCTAAATTTGTCGAAACATATCATTGCTCGACAATCTCTTTGGTAAGGCAAGATTCTCTACAATGTCTTTTTTAAAATCATTCCAATTTCTTCTAAATGGATGATTGAGGGGTAAAAATTATCGGTGACAATTAAAAAAATGATATCTTCTAACTATTTAGGAGGTGGAATGCCTTAGAATTTTCCTCACAATACATACATGACAATCTACCATACGTACTTCATCTAGACCACATGCCATATCTAGGAAAGTCATTAATTATCCACATAAGTGCTACCTTTATAATGAAATGTTGATGCCTAAAACTATCATGTCTTGACCCCATTATCCCAAAGTTCCTTTAGTTCATCAATTAGTGGGTATGGCATGATGTCAATGTCTTTTCTTAGACTATGAAGGCCTTGGATTATTAGAGAAAGAAGGACTCTAGTTTCATACATATTGATGGAGGTAGATTGTAAATAATAAAAAATACAGGTTCACATGAATATGAGGCTACTGTATGTCTAAATACTATGAACCAGTCCATGCACAGTTCAAGCCTTACATTTCTTATATCTGACCTAAAGTCAAGGTATGTGTGATCAAAGTGTTTCCATGCCTCAACACCAATAGAATAAATAATCTTTTTTGATTCATCATCACAACTAAGGTGCCATGTCATGTGCTCAGTAGTTTTTCTACACATGCACAACTTTTTTAGTTTAGGTGTAATTGGGAAGTACCATAATGACTTCATTGGTATATGTTGATTTTGTTGCACTCGCTCTTGCTTATAACGAGGTTCACCACATATTAGACATTTGATTTAGTTTTTGTTTTCACATATTTCGTAATACAAGAAGCAGTTATTTACACAAACATCATACTTCTTTTTATAACCTAGATTGAAATGTCTCATCATCTTTTTAGCATTGTAAGAATCTTTTGGAATCTTATCTCGATCCTTCGGCTTAATTCATCTCATATTGCACTTTAACACATTATCCCAATTAGCCACACTCATATTATAAAGTGTTTCTGCATTCATAAAATAAGACACCCCTTTGAGTATTATATCACTCTCCTCACATTTATCATAAAGTGGTGTGTTAGTAACTTGCAAAAGATAAAAAAATTGCTTTGCATCTCCTGTAGCCACCTTAAATATTGGGTCCTCAATGGCTTATTCATTCATATTATATTCTATGCCACGTGAAATCATTGCATCCAAAACCATCTTTGTAATTGGACCATTACTTGGTTCTTTCATCCTGTATGGGGTTGCACTTAAGGATTCCCCCTATTAATGACATTGTTGCTTTTACATTAATTACTCTTCATTTGTAAGCCAAACTAGATACCTATTTATAAAATTTTTTTCTTTTGTCAAATGACATTGCACAGTGATACAACAATATCATTCTTGGTTCATACATTTTCAACATAGCCAACTAATGCGATTTTTGCTACAAAATTCTAGATTATACTTGGAAAAGGCATAGTCCAAAAAGAACTCATTGCCAATTTTGAATTTATGAACAAAACAATCACCATCATGTAAACGATAATACATTTAACTTTGATCCCCCAACATGTGAAATATTTCCTTAAATTTTTATTAAAAAAAAATTCATATCCCCACACAAATAATAATACATCAAATTTGTCATTTGTGAAATATATTTTCTAAACTAAAATTAAAAATGAATATAATCAATGTAATTATAATTTATCAATCATCAATTAATTAATATAATCTAATTTACCAATTAATTAAACAATATAATCATAATTTACTAATTAATTAATTAATACAAATCATAATTTACCAATTAATTAAACACTATAATTATAATTTACCAATCAATAATTAATATTAGTATTTTTTTTCTTAACTAAATTTCAAAATAAAAATAAAGCAAAAAAAATTATACAATATACTTATAAAAATGGAGACTTGCAATTCAGACAAATCAAAGTCAAATTAATGCTTTGAAAGTGATGAATGGACTTACAAGAAAATAACAACCAAAATGGATAATGAATTGAAAAAGGTATAAAAAAATACAAAATGAGAAGGTAAATTATGACTAGTAAATTATTGAAATGAAGAAGAATGAGCACAGTCATAAATAGTAATATTTTTAGATAAATATGAATTATATGAATAAAAAATAAAAATAACAAAAAAAAATCAACTACACACACTAATAAGTTAAATAGAATAATAGATCATAGCATAAGGAGGTTGGAGACAACTAACGGTAGCAGTTAATAATGGTTGAAAGTAGATCGTTAGACAAAATGAAGAAAAGTAGTGACGAAAAAGAAAGGAAAAGACAAAAAGAAAAAGGAAAAAAGCTAGATGATGGCCAATCATACCTTCACCGGTGTCAGATGCCTAGAAAATGCCCTTCAATGGCTGGTTGGATCAAGCGGCAATGCTTGGTGGTGGTGAAGGCCAAAAAACTAAGGATAAGACCCAAGGAAGGAGAAGGGGTTCTATGGGATATTGATAAGGTCAGCCCATTTTGGTCAAAATCCTTGACCGAAAGAAGTTGAAAAATGCAGGACTTACAAACTGCATCCATCAAATTAGATTTAGACCATTGTTTCAATCAAGCCTCTTAGTTGAACATTTATGTCACAAAATGACAATTCAATCAAGAAATTGACCAAATTGGTAATATTTTATTTTTAAAAAAATTTTAGATTTTTCACATTTTATTTGGTCCAATTATATAATTTTTACTTTGGTCAAATTTTTTTATCAATTTAGTTTTGGCACTATTTTGCACGCAAATAATTCAGAGGAAATTTTTTATTGAATTAAATTTTAACCGAATTATTCATTTGTGAGGATTTTAAGTGGACAAAGCTGTAATTCAGTCAATATATAAGTCCAAAATAGTTAGTTTTTCAGTCAAATTATTTGTTTGGCCGAAATACTCTGATCAAAATGCATAGTTTTCTAGTAGTGTCTCGAAAATATAGTAACTTCAACATATAGTAGTAAATTATACAAAAACTCTAAAAAAATCAACTTTTTACTTAACTTGATTGAACTAAATTCAGTGTTTAAAACATGTTAGTTATTGAGTTGGGTTTTAAAACGTGGTTTATAAGCTTATAATGTTGATAAAAATAATAAATGTTTTATAACAACAATGCTATAATTACAATGCAAAGTAAAATTGTAAATTTATTATTATGACGTGACATTAAATAAGTATGATATAGTATTAAATGAGTGAATATATACAATACTACAAATAAATTCTTAAATGAAAAGAGTTAACTATATATAATGACATATTATGTTATAATCTTATAATATCATATGATATTATAACTATAATATTTTTTCAGTTCTATAATTAGGTAAGCATTTTTTTATCATTTACTTGAGCTTTCTCAAAAATGGTAATTATTGAAAGGGAAAAGTCTTATAGAGGATATCCCCCATCACATCTTAAAAGCATCATAT